GAGATAGTTTCGCTGACATGGCTGGCTCAGTTAGTTATCAATAGAGATTTTCCCACCAAAATGGCTCTCTTCCAGTCCAGATCTTTGGCGAATAATCTTATCAGTCTCAAACTTAAACTGGCCCAGTAATTACCCTAATATAAAGCGTCAGAGAATAAAACAGTCTTTAAACGGAAAAACCAGCACCATTACAAAAAAACAAACGTAGAAAAGAAAAAAAAGGTTTCAATGTTTAGCTATGTTTCAGTAAACGAGACAAATGATTCTGGCGCAGAGTCATGACAAAAGCCAAGAGATGTATGTTTGCCCTAAATTTTCTACCGATATCTTTTGTAAACACAACTCCACAAAACAAACATTAGATGAAGGTAAGCTAGAGCAAATGTAGGCCTACTATTTCTTGTCTTCGATTTTTTCCTACGACATTGGGGGCATCAAAGAACATTTCAAAAAGTAAAAATCCCATTTCCCCGTTTTGAACTTGCTCATACACATTTTTACGCCCCCAAACTGTGTCCTTCGATGAGCTGACGCAGGTGTCGACAGATGTAGGCGTCAAAATCTGATTTAAATCACACCGATAGAATAACCAACGCATTGCTGACTCACAATGAGAAGCTTTTCTTCTTTTGATTCATTGTAGTGTACGATGTCGTTTCGTATGGTAAAGTCAAGAAAGCCTGTTTCCTTGACAATGATTTGGAAAATCCATTAATTAAAAAAGCTACCTTGACAGACAGTCTTTCTTGTCAAATATATCCTTATCTCGGGTTTAAAACCTTTACAAAAATTTTTGCACCAAACTTAGAGATTCAGTTCCAAATTGCAATCACAAGAATTTCCATTGACCCACTATATCTCTCTTACATCGAGTTCAAGGACTTGCTAAAAATATTATTGCCTTTTTAAAAAAGAAATCTTGCCATCTTCGAAACAAAGAAGATTCGTCGAAAAACAAATTACGCTTTCCAATATTTGTGTTTCAGAAATAAAGTCTAGTCACTCAAACACGAGCCCATGTACGCAAAGACAGCTTGTCTAACTTGTCTGATCAATTGTAAACTCTGCTGTTTTCTTTGCTGCATCAAAATCGTGCAACATAACCTACTTCCTTCTAGTACACTTTATGAGTGTGTTATTTTAATCATTCTATAAGTTTTAACATCATAGTTGTATATTTTCTATATTTCAAAAATGCTACTTTACTTTCTCAACGTAAATAAAGCCCGTGTTGGACCAGTATTAAAGAAAAAGAAATTTGAATAGTTGTAAGCACAATAAATTCTGACCTGTCACCTGACCTATTTGAAATCTTGCTTTTTTGCCAAAAATGTTTTTGTCACGTTGGGGAAAATCAACCCTGCGAAGTTTTTTAATTTTTACGTTTTGAAAATCTTTTTAAAATATCATAACATTGAAATTACACTTCAATGATATCCCAACCGCTCCTGCTGAACGAATTTTCTATCGTGAAATTCAAGCTTCTTATCCTTATTTCCTACAACTGACACTGTTGTCTACATTATTTAGTTTACCGCCCATTTGTTTAATGGTGCAACCTGAAGACAAGGGAAAGCTCATCTCATATTCACAGTTTTTACTTTTGGAGGTCCCCAAGATTATTTTCCTTTTGGGCTCGTTCTCTTTGTACTATATATCTTATGACATTGCTGGACTGTCTGATCATTACATCAATTTTTACGCCAATTATCTGGTGAATCATCGTCTTCCAATGACGTGCAATCAGAAGATGTAGTATTGACTTAGACGTACCCAGCGCGTGAAGGATGGTGGGATGGTCGAATCTTCGCCTGCAGATCATGTTATTTCCGTGATGCCTTGCGCATCTCTCATTTTAATTGATTGGCTCGTCTCAATTAAAATCACTCGAACATGCTGTGGAGAAGGGGTTTTTTAATTTTGAGTGACAAACTGAAATTATTATTTTCACGATGGCGTTTTAAAAAGTTACCATACAGTTGTAAATATGAACCTATGTAATATTTACTAACTTCAAAAGTAAACGAGAATAATTAGTGATTATTTTTTCCCCGCGCAGAACCCGACCATTGTTCGCTGCGAAACTACACAGTACTTTCCTGCTGTCAGAAGTACTGGTGGTACAATGTATATTTCTATGTCTTTCTCATTTCCATCACAAAAAGCAGCTGTCTGCAAGTCTGTCTTTTTTCTTCTACTTTGGAACACTGGCGGCAATACTTTTCTTTTGGATCGGGAAATTGCTTGGAATATATCCTCTAAGTAACCTAAAAATGTGGCTTTTCAAGAGGCTTTTTCAGGTAGTCTTCTAATTGGGTAAATATCAATCGGTGATTTTTTCTTCGTAATTTTAAATTTCAGCGGTTATATATTTGTAATTGTTGTAGTAATTTTTATCAACGTTTGTTTTTTTTTTCTGCCATTTTGCTTTACGTTTCTAAAGCGCATGGAACACAACGAAACTAATAATTCATTTTAATAATTTATCTTCCGTATTGCAGATACTTTTTAAACTTTTTAAGATCAATGCCTCTAAGGTTACTTACAATTACCACTTTTAAGACCGTCTAAAATCGCCAATTTAAAAGCCCTTAAGCAGGATCATCAAACCGCTTGATGCACGAAAAAAATTCTCGAGGTACTGTAAAACAGAGTACTTTTTTGACAGATTTGTTGTTCTGGTTTTTATTTTAGATCACGATTATAGTAAAAAGACACTAAAAAGCTATTTAAAATTCTTTTAATCAGAAGCTTTCGACTTTTCTCGAAAGCTTCTTGGCAGCTTCGAAGACTTTTAAAAAAGAGACTTAATACTTTGAGCTTTTGAAACATCCTTTTCGTGGTTTATTTATCATTTTATTATTTTATTAATTCATTTTTTCGTTTTCATTGTACTAATTTTGTTTATAATACCCTTACGATGGTGCCAGCGTGTTTTATACGTGATGATATTCCCCTGTCCCTCCCAGCATAAATGACTGACAACAGCTTTTAATGATTTCTTTGCGTCTAAGAGAAAGCAGATATTCTTTTACCGAATAACGAACAGCATATTTAGCTGCTTGAAATAAGCAGACCGTAAGCTCTTTATTCGCTTAAGTTAATATCCGGAGGGTTCTAAGCCGTAATACAACGGGTATAATAGAAAAGCTACTTGGAAATCAATTCTAATTGTTGTCAGTGTCCAAGAAATTCATCTAGCCAAGAAATTATTTTTTTTAAAAAACCTTGCACTGGATTCGCTTGCTGCTGAAATAAATCATTTCGGTTGGACCCCTAACACTAATCATCTTGCCCTCTGGAAGCGAAGTTACCAGAGGCGTGGGTGAAATTTCTTTCATTGTTATCCGGAGTAAATTGTAAGTCCAAGAAAAGCTGATCACCCCGAACAATTAGTGGTTATAAAATAATTCTGTTCAGAGGATTTCTTGGCCATTTATTCTTGAACAAAAGACTGTGAGAGGCCATTTGCAACCTGCCTCGTCCATGATATAAAACACCTTACTGGAGTGCTACGCAATATGACCTTGAGAGAAAAAAAGATTTTAAATGAAAGAAGCATATTGATCTTTTGTCCCATTGCATTTGCTTACCCTCAAGGAAAGAATCATTAAATTACTTAGATCATGGCTAATTCACCCCGT